CAGGGACCAAATTGGGGTGAAATTGTAAACAATAAGGACCAAATTAGGGGTCCGTACAATAGTTCAAGGACCAACTTAGGCCAAATTATAAATAGTGGGGACCAAATCGGGGGTCCGTACAATAGTTTAAGGACCAAATTAGGGATTTCTTTAGTTCAGGGACCAAATTGGGGGTTCGTACAATAGTTCAGGGACCAAAATGGAGATTTAACCTAAAAATTTACTTTCAGTTAACAAATTAACGGTCAGTATAAAGTTAGGGCTATTTTTTTTTATTTTAATAGGTGAGGGGCTAAAACCTATAAATTTAGTAAGGTAAGAGGTTAAAAGTGTTATAATATAAGGTATGAGACTAAAACTTTCAAATTTGATAAGATGAGACGTTTAAAGTAGATTTTTACGCCCTTAAATATTGTTGGAGGGCGGCGACTCCGAAATTGGAGCCAATCATTACGCAGTTCAAAAATTAAAAAATAAAAGAGAGGAAAAAAGAAGAGTAAGCAGCCGGTTCTTGGGCCTGTGATTCAGCTCTGGAGATTGGAGCTTTGTTATTTAGTGTTGAAACTAGTACAAGGCTTAGGGCCCATGGAGCCCAAAATAACATGATGGCAAGGCAGTTCGTTTATTTTCTTAGTTAGGAGTCCAACTGATTGACATAGCGACAATCCTTCCTAATTTCTCCTTGATCGCCGGTAAGCGGATTGTTTTCCGACAACAAGAGGATGGCCCTGGCAAATTGGTCGTGGAAATACCCATTATCAGCGGCCATCTTCTCCACAAAAGGAGACGTAAGTGGATCAGAAGCCAACGCCTGGTCCACTGAGAGCAGTCCTTTGTGTTCCAACAAGTGTTTGTAGTAGAAATTGTCAAGAATCATGGGCGTATCCCGGTCCTTCCTAGCGTACAGTACAGCTTTTGGGTAAGGATCCGGCGTAGGACACCTTCCTTTCAGGTACTTAGCATAATCAGGGTCCAGTGTTGGATCGACAGTGGGGTAGAGCCTGTGGACTAAGTTGACGCAATGGACTCGTCCCAGGGAATGTGCTCCTATAAAAAAATGTAAATTAATTTTGACTTAAAAATTTAAACTTACGTAAAATTAAACAATTAACTTTCTACTTAAAAAAAAAAAGATTTATGTTTATAGATTAAATTATACATTAAATTAAAATATAGTTCATTTAAAGAGAAGGGGAAAGAGTTTGGGGACAGGGGACTCTTAAAAATTCAAGGGG